GGAAGACAGTTCGAGTTTCAGGGAAAATGGTTCAAAGTGTAAGGGAAAATAGTGTCAAGTAACAAGGGAGGACAGTTCAGGTTCAGCAATCAGGCGCTCACCTGGAAAAAAAGGAATTCAATTCAGAATGCAATTCAGAAGTTGATGAAGGATGTGAGCTGCTCAAGACATGGCCGAGGTCACAAGCACTACATGTCCGGTCCTGACCTAGAAGCTGTAGAAGAACGAGCTAGCACCTGCAGCTAACAAAGTGTCAAGGTTCAAATCTAAAGTCTGTATGAAGAACCATTCAAGACTCAAGATCAAGCTTCAGAAGACTTATAGATAGGAATCTTGTAGCTCGTAGTCGATAGGCTTAGCTAGTCTTTTTCATCTTTTGATTTTTGATGTAATAACAGGGACCGCAGACCGGAACCTCGACGGAACGGCACCTCGACCGAATCTCCACCTCGGCATACTCCATCACCTCACTCATTTCTGAATTACATGTGGCCTGATTCCTTTATAGCCAAGGATATGTAGGTAGCTCAAATGTCAGAGCTCGGTCACATCCCCCTTTTCTCTTAGTCTTAGTCTCTCCAAATAAGGGTCGGGTCAAAAACTTATCTAGTCAGTCTTTGTCTGAAAACTCTGTACGTTTCCAGTCAAAGAGGGGCAGCTGTAGACATGTGATTTTTGACCCTCTCCAAGATATTTTATATATTAGCGTAAAATATTTAATTTAGGCATAATATAGATATTTTAAGTAATTTTGACTTTTTTACTCTATTTTATTACAAGAAAACAAAATTACAAAAACAAAAAAATAAGTTCATTAATATTTTGTAGTCATTTTTAATCTAAAAAAAATATATAAAAATAGTATCGTATTTTTATTTTTAATATAATGTTTGAAAATACAAAAAATAGATTTGTTTTAATGGTTAGTTTTGTTTTAATAATTATTTTAATAGTAGGACTAATTAATAAATGGACGCGTATTTTTAATCTCATTCGCGACAAAAGAATAGAGCTTGGGCTCGAGCAACCCATCTTTAGGCCTAATTTTGGACCTAACCCACAATTGCCAAGCCCATAATTCCTAGGCCCATTCCCCTTAACCTAAAACCCTACCACTAACCTAGACCTATATATATTAAACAAAGCCTAAAAACTAAGGGGGAGCTGAAGGAAAAGCAGCAAAGCTGCGCATGAAGAAGAACAAAAAAAACAGCTAAAAGGTTGCGAACAAAAGGACCCCCCCGGAGATCGTCCTTTCCAAAACACCCCCCTTCACGTCATCGTCTTCTTCAACAAAAGAGCACCCAACGACCCTCGAGCCCCCCCCTGCGCGTCGTTGTTCTGTCCAAATGATCAGCTTACACCTTGAGCAGCCATACACAACCCAGCTCGCCGGAAAAACATCAACCAAGCTCCTTCACCTGACGCCAAACGACCTTTCCTATCTACTGCCGGTGACACCTCAAGCCCAGCCATTCCGTTGCCGACTCAGCTATGGGAGTGGCTTGAAAACTCCATGAACTGAGCTGAAACTTCAGTTCAAAACGAGCTGAAATACTACCTCAAAAACACCATGTAACTAACCACCGATTTGTTGTTCTAAATCAGTCGAGGAACACCTCTTAAACCATTGCAAAACTCATCAAGTCAAGGAGGCCTACTTTTGAAATCTGTTCGTCGTTTCCGTCGTCCAAGGTCCCGGTCTAAAATTTTGGCTTCTGAAAAGGTTCACTGCTGAACTCTTATTCATCTTTCTATTTCTGAATTTATTCTCGTAGCATTTAGTTGTGATATTTTGTTTGGATCTGTGTTTATTCTTCACTTTTAAATGAGAATGTCTTTGCCTTGTTTGAAACAGTGATTAGCTTGTTATTAGTATTTTTTTTTTGCAATTTTGGTGTCTTGGTGCACTTCTTAATTATATGTTCGTTGCTTAGACTATATTGGTATTGTGGGGTTTATAGTATGATTTTATTTTGCTGAATCTTAGTGGTTAGAATAATTTTTGGAATTAAAGTGAAGTGGCTTTGCGTTAATAAAGAGTGGATGCACTTGCTGTTATATGATTTCAAATAGTTGTATCGTACATTTCTTCCTCAAATATTTCCCCAAGCTCATGGCCCTCACAAAATTAGTTAGCTTGCTATAGAAATTGAGGTGTGCCATTTTTATTAAATAACCCATGGCCCTCATGCAATTAACACTAACCCATGGTCCTCATGCAATTAACACTAACTCTTTAAAAATCGAAGCGTGCCATTTAGCGAAATTTCTCGTGGCCCTCACAAAGTTGTAAATGCGAAATTGCTTTAGGCGCGTTAGTTTAATAATATTACTTTCCTAAATTCGGGTGCGCATTGATGCGACCCAAATCTAAATCTCGACGAAGTCGAAATGTGTTGACGACCATGAGTGCATTGATTGTGACGTGGTTTGAAACGTGTTTTCACGACGTCACAATTCTTTTAAAATAAATAATGATAAAAAGTGGTTTACGAATAAAAAGCACATAAGCTAGCATGTATTAAAATCAGATAAAATCGAATACAACAGTTAAGCGACCGTGCTAGAACCACGAAACCCGGGAATGCCTAACACCTTCTCCCGAGTTAACAGAATTCCTTAGCCGGATTTCTGGTTCGTGGACTGTTAACAGAGTCATATTTTTCCTCGGTTCGGGATTCAACCAGTGACTTGGGACACCATTAATCTCCCAAGTGGCGACTCTGAATAATTAATAATTAAATCTCGTTCCGATTGTCCTTTAATTGAAAAAACCCCTTTACGCCCTTGCGGGTGTAGGTAAAAAGGAGGTGTGACAAAAAGCACACAAGTTATAACATGTATTAAATCAGATATTTAGCCTTATATAACAATTTAAGCGACCGTGCTAGAACCACGGGATTCGGGGGTGCCTAATACCTTCCATCGGGTCAACAGAATTCCTTACTTAGAATTTCTGGTTCGCAGACTTCATTTGGAAAGTCGAATATTTTCCTCGAATTGGGATTCAAGATAAACCGGTGACTTGGGACACCAAAAGCCAAACCTTTCCCAAGTGACGACTCTGAATTAAATAAATAATCTCATTTCGAATATTGTCACTTAAATTGGAAAAACTCCCTTATGCATTTATCCTTCGGGGTAGGCGCGTAAAAAGGAGGTGTGACGCTAATAAGTTATGGGATCACGGGTGAATATGGGTTAGTGGATAATTTAGTGTGCCTGTAGTGGTAGAACATGGGAGAGTGATTACAAAAAAAGTTATGACTACTTTTCACATCACGGGATAGTGGATTAGGAGTTATAGCCATTTTCTACACTAAATATAACACAAAATAATATTAGTATTTGAATAATAAAATGCAATATATTTCTTTCCTACAGATTGACTGGTAAATGTAATGTCATATCATAAACTAAGAATTTTCTGTGATGGTATACAGACTTCGTGCAACAGATTCCAAAGTTGAGAAATCTCCATTTTCCTTGCTTTTCATGCAAGTGAATATGACCTGATGGAAAGTAATATCAGCAAGTTCAACAAAAGAAGGAAACACAATGCTATAGAGAGGAAAACACTTCCCCTACCTCCGTTTCCTGTCATGTTTAACACACATTTTTCTNAAAAATCCAAACAACTATAGATGGGTTCAACTCTCCTCACGAAATGTGCCACTCACTCGGATACCTTACATGGTTACATACACAACTAGCTCTAGGTTATTAAAAGTGTGCAATTTACGCTATACACTTTCAAAGTGACAGTCCGAAAATTTCAGAAGCGGCCAACTCAAAAGAATGACATATTCAAAGGAAATTTCCTATAGAGAAGTCCTACTTGTTGAGATGTTGCATAATACTGAGAACCTTTGGTGACTATTTACACATACACAGATTGGATTGCCAGTTCATTGAATTAAAACCACGCGATTTGGGCATGGTTCAACCTGGAGACAAGCTAGCTCGTCAAGGACTATTTAGATTTATTAGGTCGTCAACAACATCAGGCGCAAAACCAAGAGGCTGAAAGTCAGATCGGTGGAGGACATTTGTCCGCAGATTGTTAGAGTTGTTGGGCATGATCTCTGCTGGCAAAGGCTTGCCTGAAAAGCAGTGGCGTACACGAATACGGTGACATTTTGTCTCCGTTGAGAAGCAACCACGGACGTTGATTGCCAATGTGACTTCCTTATCCTTGGCATCTTCACACCAAAAGTTTTGAGGTATCCCATCAACAAACTCCTCAAGTGTCTGGTGGTCTTCATGGTGAACTAAAATTTCAACAATATGGTCTGGTTCAATGATGCCAGCTGCAGGATTGACCTGTTGAAGTTCAACCCAAATGCATCAGATTCTTAAAAGCCGAGCATTTAGTTTGCTAATTTAGCTTATGAGAAACTGAAAATAGCTTTTCTTTTAAAGGCAACATACTAAGCAGATTTCGAAGCTACACTGGGACCCTAACCCTTTCCAAAATGGAACTTGGTGTTGGTCTAACCATATCCAAACAGTAAACCACAGTTCTTCAAAAGTCATCCCACTCATTTACTAATAACTTCATTTTTTTTTCTTTTCGAAAAAACCCCCCAACTACTACATTTTTTCTCTTCATTTCCATATTTTTCGTCTTCTGCAACACAGACAAATAGAAGCCTATGCATGTATTTTAGGTTCTTTGTGGTCTAGTTAGCTTTAAGGTCAGCGGGTCCCAAATAAGATTCTCAGCGAGGCACCCAACTTCTGATGGTGAGATTTCTAAAATAGGCGAATACTAACATCATGGTTCACGTGAATGTTCAGAGTGACTGAACCAGTCGTGACTTCCAATCTTCCAACTCTTGAAAAAAAAAATAGAAAAAGAAAACACAAGGGGGAGAGAGGAATCACTTTGGAAAATCTCACAAGTAAACAAATTAGAACCTTGCCATCAAGCCCCAGCCACTATAATGATAGAAAAGCTCCAATCCTCCAATTTAAGAAGCGGAAGTTACCTCAAGCCAACGAGGGAAACCAAAAGAACCTCTTGGAGGATGATCAACCACTTGCCCGTCATCTTTAACAGTGGACTCGCCTTCACAAGTTATTTCAAAAATAGCTTTGTTTTTGCCGCTCTTATTTGTAATGCGCAAGATGGATGAGTTCATGTTCTGGAGGATTATGTTATTTGTGCTGACTATTGCTTCTGGAATTTTATTCAGCTCTCCAAGCATAAGCACAACTTTCTCATTTGATCTAATGATTTCTCCATATTCTTGCCTTCTCACTGATTCGTCCACTCGAGCAATCTCCACATTGAATATGCACCTTACAGGCTTGTGGTCACTATCTGTTACGTCCATGCAAGCTTCATACCTATTAAAGGAGAGGCTTTTAGAAAAGTGGGAACAGAGGAAACAGAAGTGATACAGAAAAAAGATGGCAAAAGAGGTAAAGGCAGGTAATGAAATACATAAATACGATAAAAGAACTAAAGAAGAAGAGTTTGAGAAGCGGATGGAGAAATGAAGGATGAAACAAACATTTTTGGTCTCCTGTTTAAAAAAAAAAAAAAAAAAAAAAAAAAAACTGGAAAAAGAAAAAAAGAAAAGCCACAGAAACATTATTGTCAAGTGCCCTGAAAAATCAGGGACTTCAATTATTTTGGGTTCATATGGAGAACTTACTGCAAAACTGATGAGACGATAGGACAATCTAAGCTGCACGCGGAAGCTGAGGCGGAGCGGCTATCACGATACAAAATTCTGTCACACCAAGCAGGAATTCGCTTCTTTTCACCAGAATCATACCCTTACAAATGAGATAAGTATAACCACATCAGATATTCAGAGGAGGAGAGAGAAATATATATAGATCATTTACATCCTATCTGCAAATATGAAAGAAGAGAGGATTACGTTAGTCAAGTGCAGAATTGATAGCTACAGTTACCTGCTATTGGACCAACAGTCTTTGTTACTAGTAGTTATCAGTTTGTTCCTAGCATTTATCTCTTTAGATTAGATTGCATTTATCTTCCAGATTAGATGATATCATAGTTAGTTCTTCAGAGTTATCTATTTGGTTTAGATAGGATTCTTTAGTTATTTGGTTTACATGAAACTCTAGAAAGGTGGTTGCTGTAACTTGTATTTAAACTCATTTATGCATTCAATAAGAGACACAGTTTTCCATCATATATTCAAGTGTTCATATGGTATCTGAGCCTATACAACTCTAACGAGCACGATCCTATTTTTTTCCAAGCACCAAATCCTCCAATGACGAAAGATGGAAACACTTCCAGAGTTATCAATGCTGACAACACTACTGGTATCAACACCATAGTTTAATTCAACCCCGCTTCCCAACTGCCAATCCAACTTAGTGGCAGACACAATTTTTCCACTTGGAAAGCTNTGCATTCAATAAGAGACACAGTTTTCCATCATATATTCAAGTGTTCATATGGTATCTGAGCCTATACAACTCTAACGAGCACGATCCTATTTTTTTCCAAGCACCAAATCCTCCAATGACTGAAAGATGGAAACACTTCCAGAGTTATCAATGCTGACAACACTACTGGTATCAACACCATAGTTTACTTCAACCCCGCTTCCCAACTGCCAATCCAACTTAGTGGCAGTCACAATTTTTCCACTTGGAAAGCTCAGTTCTCCATGCTTATGCATGGACATGACCTCTATGGTCACCTTGATGGATCTACCCCGACTCCCAACCCGAGCACCACTTTTGGCACCAACACGACCCCCAACCCTGCTTATACACTTTGGTTCCGTCAGGATTACCTCATTCAAAACGCCCTTATGGCATCTGTTGATCCTATGATTGCCTCCACAGTTGATGCTGCCAACACATCAAAACAGGCTTGGGACTCTTTGCATACTGCTTATGCAAACAAGTCCCAAACTCAGATCTTTAGCCTTCGTGATCAACTTGCCCGAATCACCAAAGACTCCCTCCCTATTACTGAATACCTTCAACGTATTCGGTCCCTTTCGGATGAACTAGCCACTGCTGGTGCCCTTGTTACTAACTCCGAACTCATTGTCAAAATCTTTACTGGACTTGGCCCTGAGTTTCGCGAGATCTCGGCCGCTATACGTGCACGTGACACCACAGTAACCTATGAAGAACTGTATGAGAAGCTTCTTGATCATGAGCTCTTTCTCCGTCATGAGGAGGCTAAGAAAATACAGAGCCCAATCACTGCTGCGGTGGCCACTCACAACAAATCAACCAATAATTCTAACAACCGCAACAATCGCCGTCAGAACAATAATGGCACGCCTACTCACAATCCTCATCAATGGCGCTAGAATGCTCGCTCCAATCCGCCAGCTCAGTGGCCAGCCCCGACTAACAATAATTTCACTAATGTTATCCGGTGTCAGTTGTGCAACAAAATTGGCCACATTGCAAGTGTCTGCAGATCTAAATCTCACAATCATTTTGAGGCTAAAGCTAATTATGGTTGCGGTTTCACCTCTACTGCCAACCCATGGATTATGAATTCTGGAGCTACTCATCATCTCACAACAGAGCCACACAATTTACAGGAATATCATGGCAATGAGAATGTCTCTATGGGTGATGGTAACAAAATTCCCATAACTCATACTGGTTCAACTCAGTTAAAAGCATCAAATAATATTTTTCATCTAACTCACACTCTATGTGCTCCTAACATCAAACGTAAACTTATCTTTGTCTCCAAATTTTGCCAAGATAATCTAACATCTATCGAATTTTTTCCTTTTGATTTTCTTGTGAAGGATCTGAAAACGCGAGTACCACTGGTGCGAGGCCGGAATAAACATGGATTGTATGAGTGGCCCAAGTCATATCCATCACCACCTCCGCAATCTCACATCACCTCTGCCACGGCTTCTATGACCACATGGCATCGAAGACTAGGTCATCCACATTTCAGAATTCTTAAGTATATCTTGAATAAATTTTCGCTTCCATTCTCTGAGCGAGACAAGTCTCTTTTTTGTAATTCTTGTTCATCTGATAAAGCCCATCAACAACCATTTAGTCAGTTGAGTTTGACAAGTTCCAAACCTCTTCAAATAATTTTTAGTGATTTATGGGGACCCTCTCCAATTCTATCCATTGACAAAAAATGGTATTATTGCTTGTTTGTTGATCAGTACACGCGGTATACATGGTTGTACACTTTTTTTTGTTAAAGTAAATTGTATTAATCAAAAGGGAGAGAACTCCCGTATACAGGAAGTATACCAAAGAGTAGAGAATTTATATCAGAACATGATTCTTTACAAAAGACGCCCAATCTTCTATACAAGTAGGTAGGGTTGTGCATAATTTGGTAAATACCGAATTACCATACCGAAACCGAATTTTTTGGTATTTGGTATTTTGGTATTTGGTATGGTATTTGATATTTTTTTTTAAAATACTGAAATACTGATACCGTACCGAAATATATATTGGATTAGTTTTAAATATCCTATCATCCTTGCAGCCCTCAGTTACCAGAGAGCTTCAAGAGAATGTTTCTAGTTCCATGTTATTTTGTTGAAGCATGTGCGCCACCTATTTTTGTCTATGTGGTTAATGGATGTTACCCGAATAGTTTTTGTAAACAACACTTGTGAAAGACTTATTTTGGTCACGTTTTAAGAAGCTTATTGGTGTCCGGTATATTACGGAGATGCAAGTTAGAGCTTTAGACCAGACATACTTATATGTTGATGAAGTTTGTAAATATTATTTTAATCTTATGCTCTTGTTTATAGAAGTCACATATATGTTGTGCAGTGTTGTAGCATTCATAAGATTGATTTTACTGCCCCAAAATATAACGTTCCGAAGCTGCTTTAGAACCGAATAAACCAAAGTTACCATACCGAATAAACCGAAACCGAAAGGCGAAAAACCGAACCATACCGAATCTAATTAGGTACGGTATTGGTATAGCATTTTAGAATACCGAATACCAAAAATATCGAACCGAAATGTCTAAATACCGTACCGTATCGACCGACGAACACCCCTACAAGTAGGGGCTATATGAGTGCACCAAAAAGCGATCAAAGATAAAAGACTATTCTTAAGATGTGAAAAAGGAGACTCAATCCCCTCAAAAGCTCTCCTATTTCTCTCCCCCCAAACTATCCACATGAGAGCTAACGGGGCGAACTTCCACGCCTTTTGCTTTCTTCTTCTACGGAAACCGGCCCAGCTATATAACATCTCCTTTACAGTGCTTGGCATCACCCATTGAACACCAAAAAAATTTAGGATTGCCCCCCACAAAGCCGAGGACACAGGGCAATGCAACAAAAGATGATCAACTTCTTCCCCTGAGCTTTTACACATGTAGCACCAACTAACAAGTGTAATTCCTCTCTTTAGAAGATTTTCAGCAGTCAAGATCACTCCCCTCGCCGCTAGCCATGCACAAAAGCACACCTTCGTGGGCGCCTTAGGAATCCAGATCGAGGAGTAGGGAAAAGTGGCCTCCTCTCTCACCAACATACTCTGGTAAAAGGACTTTGCGGTAAACAAACCATCACCACGCAAACCCCATCTCCAAGAATTACAAGATGGTCGGGGCCTGTCTTACCCATATAGCAGTGTCAACAAATCTTGGAGCTCTGCAATCTCCCAATCTTGCATGTTCCTTCTAAATGAGAAGTCCCATACTACCCCCTCCCCCCTCCATGTTCCTTACGAATCTGTTGGACCATCAATTCCTTCTGGTTTGAAACTCTGAAGACGTGAGGGAAGGAGACCCTCAGAGTATCCTCTCCACACCACCTATGATTCCAAAAGCTGATTCTCCTCCTATCTCCCACCCTGTAAGTGATGTTGCCACTGAATGCTTCCCAATTCTTCATGATGATCCTCCACATGCCACACCCGAAAGGTGTTGTGATTGCCTTGGTCCTCCAACCCCCTCCCGTGGAATCGTACTTTTCTACTATGACCTCCCTCCATAGGGCATGCTCTTCTACCCCGAATCTCCACAACCACTTCCCCAATAAAGCTATGTTGAATACCCTAAGATCTTTTACTCCAAGTTCACCCCACTTCGTTGGGGAAGTGACTGTCTGCCAATTCACTAGATAAAACTTTCTAGTTCCATTCGCAGCATCCCAAAGAAAATTCCTTTGAAGCCGCTCCAGTTTTTCTGTGATGCTCACCGGCGCTTGCAACAGGGACAAGTAATAGGTGGGCATACTCGATAAAGTGCTTTTAATAAGCACTTCCTTACCCCCTTTTGACAAATACCGTTTCTGCCAGCCTGCTAATCTTTTTTCATCCCTTTCGATCACTGGATTCCAAACCGTAGTATCCTTATGCGACGCGCCCAATGGGAGTTGTACACTTTAAAAAAATAAAAGTGAGGTCAAAGAGCTTTTTCAAAGGTTCCACCCTCTAATGGAAAAGCACTTCGATACCAAAATTTTATCGCTTTATACTGATGGTGGAGGGGAGTATAAAAGTCTTGACTCTTATATCGCCCTTCACGGTATCGAACATCTTTCTACACCACTTATACCCCTCAAAGGGTTGCTCTTGCAGAGAGATGCCATTGCCATATTATTGAAAGTGCAAGAACGCTACTTTATGAGGCATCTCTTCCATCAATTTTTTGGTCATTCGCATGTCAACATGCTGTTTATTTAATAAATCATCTTCCCACCCACTTTTAAATAACCAGTCCCCATTTCAAAAATTATTTGGTGAAATACTCAATTATGATGCTCTTAAAATTTTTGGTTGTCTATGCTATCCTTGGCTCAAACCTTATTCTAAAAATAAACTTGAACCCAGGTCTACTCCATGTGCTTATCTCGGTTTCTCTGTAACCCATCATTGCCACCAATGTTTTGATCCCGCGTCATCAAAAATTTATTTATCTCGTGATGTGCAATTTTTTGAGAATATTTTTCCCTTCAAAAATTTATTTTCAAATATTGCACTTAAATCACATAAATTGGAATGGGACAAAGTCACAAATAAAGAAAATCCAAAACCCACCTCTCACTTTCCCTTATTTTCAGAATTACCCCAACCCATTATAAACCCCACACAAAATAAAATCAATGAAATTGAACCCACTCCTAATACGAAAGAATCCCTTCCCCAACATCCTTCATCTCCTAATGAAACTCTAGCTACAAATCAATCACCCCCACCCGAGATTCCCGGCGTATTACCAGTGGTACAAGCAAATTTGGGATCTTCACACACTCCTGCCTCAGGTATGTCTCTATCTCTTCCTACTCTATCTCCTCTTGATAATTCCTGCTATTCTAGTCCATCCCCATCACAGTCACCTTCTGCCTGACCTTTGTCACCCTCTAAACTCTATAAATTTACCTCATACATCAACCAAATCCATCCCAACCTCTTCGCCACCACTGTTCGTGTATCAACGGTGCACCCCGAACCTCAAATCAACCAATTCGATCGCCCCTCCCCCCCACCTACCATCATTGTTCCTCCCGTTGAGCACCAATGGGAACCACCCCTGCCGCACAATCCTTCTTCTCCCAATCGCGTAGTTACTCGCTCACAGAATAGCATTCAAAAACCAAAAAAGATTTTTGACTACGTCGCTCACTTGGAACCTACACTCGTACCCCACACTTTCAAACAAGCCCAAAAACATCCGAAGTGGAGAGCAGCAATGAAAAATGAAATTGATGCTTTATTGAATAACCACACTTGGGAACTTGTTCCAAATGATTCCAGATAGCAGTTGATCCAGACTCAAAAATTGCCCAATACAGATCAGGAAACATATGGGATCCACTCTTCAGAAGGCACATGCAGGAATGGGAACTTGGGGAACTCTTTGATCTTTTCCGGCTACTGGAAAGTGTTCAAATAAATACACAAGCTCAAGACAGTTTAAGGTGGGGCAATCTGAATGGAGGTTGTTATTCAGTAAAGGTAGGATACAAGAAATTGTGTGCTAACAATGAAGTAATTGAGCTTTGGCCATGGAAGCTCATATGGAAGACAAAACTCCCCACAAAGGTCATGTGCTTCACCTGGATAGCTCTTAAAGGTGCTATTTTAACTCAAGACAACTTATGTAGAAGGAATTTCCAGCTGGTGAATAGATGTTACATGTGTTTAGACAACTCAGAATCTATAAACCATTTGCTATTGCACTGCAGAGTGGCTGCAGATTTATGTCACATGTTCCTTTCAATTTTTGGCATAAGTTGGACAGTACCACAAGGCATAGAAGATGCAGTTGAAAGTTGGAGTCAATGGAAAGTCGGTAGAACCATCAAGAAGATCTGGAAGATGATCCCAGCATGTATATTTTGGTGTATTTGGGCAGAAAGGAATCGCAGATGCTTTGATGGAATATCAACTCCCAACAGCTACCTGAAAGCAAAGTGCCTTAGGAATCTATATAGCTGGAGCAACCTTTCCTCTGTAAATGATTTAATTCCATTTTTAGATTTCATTAGCTCTTTGTCTTTCGTTTGATTGCCAACTTTAGGCTTTTTGCGCTTCTGGTTAGCTCCCTGGTCAGAACTATATTTTTGTGTAAATGAGCTAACCAACCTCTTTGTAATGATTTGCATCTTCTTGATGCCAGCAATATAACACCTTCATCAAAAAAAAATCCTCTAAGAATGTTGTTTCATGTAAGTGGCTTTCAGGATTAAGCGGAAAGAAGATGGTTCTGTTGATCGCTACAAAGCGAGACTGGTTGCGAAGGGATTTACTCAGAGGCCGGGTGTTGACTTTCACTCTACTTTCAGTCCAGTGGTCAAACCCACTACTGTGCGAATCATACTTGTTGTTGCCCTTCGTTTTCACTGGCCCCTTCGTCAGCTCGATGTTAACAATGCATTTCTTCAAGATGACCTTGAAGAAGACGCCTACATGACGCAACCTCCGGGTTTTGCTTGTGGTAATAATCCAACTCATATTTGTAAGTTGCGCAAGGCAATTTATCGCTTAAAGCAAGCACCTCGGGCTTGGTATAATGCCCTCAAAGGCCATCTCTCCTATATTGTCAAGACTGAATCGGACAACTCCCTATTCACTCGGTATAGCAACGCTGGTTTCATGTTTATTTTGGTATATGTTGATGATATTATAGTTACTGGTAGAAACTCTATCACTGTGAATGAGGTCATAACTTCCCTTGCCTCTCGTTTTCCAATTAAAGATTTGAGAAATCTTAATTATTTTCTTGGTGTTGAGGTGATTCGAAGTTCTGATGATATTATTCTCTCTCAAGCTAATTATGTCAATGAGATCCTGAATGATGAGTTGATGGCTGATTGTAAGAGCGCTAACACACCAATGAGTGCCTCTGCGTTGCTAAAACTCAATGATGGGGCTCCGCTAACAGATGCGACTCGCTATCTTCGAGTCCTAGGAAGACTTCAATATTTATCTTTTACAAGGCCGGATATTTTCTATGCTATCAATAAATTGTCCCAGTTTATGCAATCACCATCTGAGCTTCATTGGAAATCTGTGAAACGTGTTCTCAGGTACCTTCGTGGTACAATTCAGTTTGGCCTACGTGTGTCCCCGAACGTTGATTTCAATCTGCACATGTATTCTGATGTCGATTGGGCTGGAGATCAAACTACCAGATCCTCCACATCTGCTATATTCTGTTCCTTGATCGAAACCCCATCAGTTGGTCTTCAAAAAAGCAAAAAACTATCGTTCGCTCATCAACTGAAGCCGAATATAGAGTTGTTGCCAATGCTCTTGCCGAACTGTTATGGGTGAGAAACTTATTGCTTGAGATGCGGCTTCCTATCAGAGATACCCTTACAATCTACTGTGACAACATTGTTGTCACTTATCTAAGCGAGAATTCGGGCCTTCATAGTCGCATGAAGCATGTCGAGGTGGACTTTCATTTTGTGCGCAACCATGTTGAACGCAAGGCGGTTCGAGTTGTTCATGTGCATTCAGCTGACCAACTAGCTGATACGCTCACTAAAGCACTTGCCAAACCAGCCTTTGATTGCAATATGTTCAAGTTAGGCTTAGTGACACATAGTCTAACTTGAGGGGGGCATATTGGACCAACAGTCCTTGTTACTAGTAGTTATCAGTTTGTTCCTAGCATTTATCTCTTTAGATTAGATTGCATTTATCTTCTAGATTAGATGATATCATAGTTAGTTCTTCAGAGTTATCTATTTGGTTTAGATAGGATTCTTTAGTTATTTGGTTTACATGAAACTCTAGAAAGGTGGTTGTTGTAACTTGTATTTAAACTCATTTATGCATTCAATAAGAGACAGTTTTCCATCATCTATTCAAGTGTTCATACCTGCTAAGCCAATTTGGTGCCTCTCAAATTTGTATGTTGGAGGAAATCTGATTACTGCTTCACGCATTCCTTGGAAGACATTCCCAGCTGCCATCTCTGTGTGCAACTGATCCCTCTCTCTAAGCCAATCAAAGCACCTTTGAGAAATAAAATCTCTTGCTTCATCATAAGAAATGCCATCAAGCCGATAGTTCAAGTCACCAAGAAACACAACCATATCTGCCTCAGACAGCTCTGGCATTGCTTCTGCAGAGTTAAACGCACCCTGACAAGCATAACTCAATGTTTTCATCTGTGCTAATTAAAATACACTGCTCCAATGAAGGAAGCAAATATTTTAAGAAGACCATTAAAGACCAGACAGCCAAAATACTAATTTAAGTATGTACATACATTTGCACTGCGGAGCATTTGAATCGCAGATGATACGCCAGCTGCAACAGAAAGGACCAATGGCAACCGAGAACCATAAACAACCCAGAATAAATACATAGAGCAGGCAAGCAAGCAAGCTGTGAAAAGGTATGGCACCATACCAGCAGCAGCACTGAGAAAGTTTGATGGCCGACTAAAGACCATAGTTCGATAAACATGGTCAAAATCAGCATTCCGGCGACTGACAGCTTCTAAATGTGCAGCAAAGTGACAGTTCACAAAGCACATAGTACGATCATATACTCTCATCCTCAATCCTACTGCTCCCTGTTTGCAGGACCATGACAAAAATCAATATCACAAATACAAAGAATGTTATCTGCTTGTCGAACATATCAAAAGAATCAGGAATGGCGATAATATGCGTTGAACGCTATAGTAGTAATTCCCATGTTTGCATTACGAGGGTCACAACAAACATGTGCTTCAAGCATGTCCAACCAAATTGTTTCAATGGACACTCAAGATTATGGTAGAACTAGTAATGTTCATATGAACTTAGAAACTTACAGTTAGGAAGATTGTGTTCTGATAAAACTGTGCTCCCTTTCTCTAGTGTATTACAATGCTGTAAAATTACTCCTGGTGGTTGTTTTTTTTGGGCACAAGCATGACTTAGGTTCTGAGTCCCTATGCTGCCCATATTTCAACAAAATATTCCAAGAAACCCAGGAAGAAATCATGCATAAACCTATTCCATGACAAAAGCCTAGGACATGTTGCAGGGTGATCCAAATTAAGAGAGAAGTTCTAGATTATAAGTAACCTAATGTTATTCTTATGCTTCAAAATAGAACCAGTCACCATCAAACAACTAATTTGCTCTCAACTTTCAGCATAATACAATAAGATCCATCAAGAAACAGCAAAAAGGAGAATGCAATCATACCTTGTTCCCAATTGCACGCCCGAAACCACAAGGTACTGCTGCAACATCAACATCGCCAACATAACGACTAATGCTACTTCTGACCCTGAAAAATATTTTTGTTTCATCAGATATCAGACACGTGTACAAATAGAGGCCCCCACTCATCATAATCTAGTTAATAGATAGTTTATGCATCAAAAAGAAATTGTTTAGATAGACACTTTAAATTGAATGAGCAAACCATAGTTTACATACAAAAATAATCAGGAAAGTTGACTTCCATTGACTTGAATACAAGTTGTGTTCCCCAGTTGGAGGAAGGGGTGAGTTAGGGTTAAATGTTAGGCCTTTTGCTCATATGTAAAAAAAGCTGGAACTCGTGACTTTAGTCAAAAGAGAAGATCCAAAGAATAAAAACAGCATTCATCAAACATAAACATATTGCATTTTGAGGTGGTGTATCTAAAGTTTGAAAACTTCAAGAATTGCCAGCCATACATTGAACTAACATTTCACCTCAAGTCATGTGAAACCTATTGTGAGTCCTCATCAGCAGATTCTGTTGTCTATATCATAAGCTTAAATGCTAAATATACCAAAGTTATTCAAGCCTTGTGCATAGGATCCATAAGCAATACCTACCAGACAGAAATAACCAAGCCTGCCAACTGTCTGAAACCAACACGGATAAAAGTCGATCCTTCATCCAAGGTTTTTCCAATCATTTCCAACCACCATTGACCAGCAGAACTTCCTTCAAGACCTACCTGCATCTAAAATGTGTTTTAAGGAGTTATATTTTTTTTCTCTTTTATTAGTATGCCTAAAAAGTTTATAGTATAAAAAAGATTATAACAACTATAGGAATGGAAACCAAGAAAGACATGACCAGCAGCTAGGAAAATGCAAGTCTAGACCAGAATATCTTTTATCATGAGAAAGCTCTTGCTTTCAACTGGAGCCTTGATATAAAATGCCATGTAATTTACAACATCAAAACACACATTGATGATAATATACACAGCAGTTAAGTATTATCTTTACTGATTCCAGACAGGGTGATCTATTTCCTCTATTTGCGCCTTTTTGGAAAAGCACAAAGCCCCAGATTTTCTATTTATGCCATAGAATAATCTTTCACGGACTTAAGTGATTGAGAGAAAGAACAGACAGGAAAACTGTATATTCACGCCGATCACTAAACCATTATAGTAATAAGCTTCTCTTTAGGTATTATTTTGACCATTCCTAGGGACTTGGGGTCACTAAGAAAGTTTTAGGAAAGAAAAATAATATAACTTTGTTTTATTAATTGAAAGTCAATGGAACCTACAGTGAAGAAAGGCATGAACTAGTATGCATTTAGACTGGCATCTATAGAAGGTTCTCATATTCTACAAATGATTATACGCACAAACAACATACATACATACATATATATACATGCATACATATATATATATA